CCACCTATTACGGAGAGCTTTGACCCCCAAATACTGGAGCGCGTCTTGGAAACACTTTTTCCGCGAGACAAAAATCCACCGGCGCGCTCTGGGTCGTCGGCCTACCTTCTGTGGACCTTCACCAATATTATTTGATGCCATTATAATTGTAGGAAAGTGATTGGATGTGGTTGAATAATACTTCAGTCGCAATATTGTTGAATGGATATTTATATACTTTATTATATAAATTCGCTGGTGATTCGCTCTTTTCGCTTTCGCTGTTTGCTACAGACTAACTCCTCACACTCGGAAAATCCACACACTTCCCCATACACGCATCATGCATCCATTTTCGACATCCTGGCGATCACGTCCACCACGCTTATCATACTTCGGTCATACGATCCTGCCGCACTTAGTCCTGTCATCCGGCCCCAAACACTTCTTTCGCACCTCAGTCTCTCGAACTGAATCTCACGCAATCACACTACTCGTGTTCTTCCAAACATCCAGTCACTCGAGGATTCCAAACATACCCAGTTACACATTAGACAATTATTTATACTCCACATAATTAAATATAACGTACCTCGTAATGACTACTTCTTCGCTGCTTTCCCTCCAATGACACTACGCCATCTAATGACGCCACTAAATAAATACGCTGCGTACGCTCCTGTAATGAATGCTGATTGTTTGACAAAACCTGTAAGCCGAGCGAATTTATTAAAGAATGTTGACAATATTATGAGAATTGTGGATTTGTAAAAACAAAGGGAAAGTGTGAGATTGTGTAGTGGCACAAGAAATAGTACCCAGCATTAGGTTGGTAGAGCTACCAGCACGCTATCACAGAGTGTATAACGGTCAGTACTGCATGATAAGTTCTACTCTTATCCAAATTTAGAAGATTTACAAATCCTATAATAAAATGCGAAATTTCGGAAAACTAGGTAGCAGTACATAAGACGGAAACCCTAATAAGCATAAGAATTGTTTAAAATTCATAATGGTTTTGTAAAGTCAAAACACTCCGAAGTTAATTAGTCTTGTATTCCGATATAATTTGATACATATTAAAATGAATTAACACGTTTATTATTTCCGGACCTGCACCTACAATTGTTTTTACAACATAATGGTTTGGTAAGATTGCTGAGTCAGTGAAGTTGGTATGAGTGAAATTGGTATGAATGTTAAAAGAAGTGAGAATCGGGGATTGCCGGGGTTGAACACAATAAAAGTGTCTTCAATATTTTTTCCCTCACAAAAATCATTAAATATTAATCGAAATATATATTTACTACCCAATAAATATATTTACTTCATTAATTAATATCTAAATAAATAACTTAAAATCATATGTACAAAATTATATGTGTTTAACATAGGGGTAGCGTACGTAGCCTTGGAAAATGAAATGGGGAATACACTTAGGGTGCACAACAATTTTCAAAGGAGTACAAGTTGGACATCCTAAGAGAAGTATAAAAGGACAAGTTGAAACAGTTTTTGTCGGTAAGAGTCACAAAGGTTCCTAGGTCTTGAGTGGACTGCATTTATAAGCCACTTAGATACTCGATCACTGGGTTGTTTAGTAGCTTGCAAACAGCAAGCTCCCCGATTACGCGATCTGGTTTAGCGTGGCAATCTGTGCTCTGACTAAAACTGCAATTGAATTTGCAATTTTAGAATCAAATTAAAGTATAACTATTCTGGGTCATCACGTTCAGCAGTTATATGCTTGATTGCGAAGGGCATCTATATCGTAAAGATATAATATTGTCTTTGCTTAACATTTTATTGACCGTATGTCTACGCAACCAAATGTCGCCAGGAGCCAGCAATATTTTTGAAGAATTAATTTAAAGAAATTTTGTGTAAATTCACAGAATAATTTAACATGTGTGGACGTACACATAAAAAAAAACAGAAACAACAACACATTTAATACAAGGGATTTAATGTTTTAACGTTTATATAATAGATTTTAAAACAATCATCTACGTTCAATCATCACATAAAAGGTACCGGCCAATGACCTGTGGTAGCATCACACATATGTTGCGTGAGCGGAGGCTAACAGTTAGCTCGGTCATCACACACATCTTGTGTGAGCGGTCACTAAAGTGTTGTAACGGCTTTACCGTTACATGTAGAAAAATCCGTAGATTGTAAGACTCAGGTCATCGGCGGTTCATGACCATTAAAAAGGTCCGGGTTTTTCCTGGAGGGCCTTATGCGGGGGATTCCCAACTCGGGGAATTCCCATTTCCTTTCTTTAGTTTTTAGCGCGTTTTTAAGCTTGCTGGCTGTTCTTTTCTAAAAGGACAAGTATATAACCCAACGGGAATGCAGAAGTTTATATACTCGCTTCTGACCCGTCACGCTGAACGACAGACCTTTGTAACACGCGAACCTGCTTCTTAAATAAAGAAACTCCCGATACAAGTATTTCGGTGAACATCATTTTATTCTCCTACCGTCATCCGCTAAAGTGTTAATGTGCAGTTACCCTTGTATCTGATAATAATACCCGTATTTTCAGCTCATGCGGGTGTTTTCTTTTATATAAAAAATTCTATGCGTTTTTGCGACTTCATTTAGTACTATGTTGCTAGGAGACATTTACTGTTATATTGATACAACGTTTCATCGCATTTTCCGCTCATGTATATAATATAATCCTGTCATTCGTAATCGAGCAACAAGATTTTTTACCTTCTTTTAATTCTTCACTACAAAAATATTAATGCCAGGAACAATTTTTATGTTCCCTAAAAATATGACTAAAAATATTCAATAAATCTTTTATTAAAGCAGCAATTTGCGCTGCTACGATAAAAAGTTGCAGCCTTTGTTATATGCGTAGGAAATGCTTTACTGCTTTGAGCAACACATTTTCTTAATTTTGAAAGATTTCCACCATGAATCTAACGAATTTCTCCGCAACAACATTCGTATAAGGTGGGAAGTCTCTTAATTTATTAAGAACGTTGCTATCACCATCGCGAATATGTTTATAATATACTAAAACCGTACATTTGTAAGCTGCAACGAAAGCTTTTGAGGATGATGTCACTTTCCATACTGGTAGAGTTCTTATTAGTTCCCCAGTTTTTGTAACATTTATGTCCACGGACCGTAATAATTATTTTATTGCCGCATACACAATTAGTACAATATTTCTTTCGCGCTCTCACAAATAAAACTTTTCGATTATGATGAACCATGACACACAATTTACACGAATTAGGGCCGTTCAAAGCTGATACGTGGTTTATAAAACAAAAACTATTTATTGTCTATATGTAAAAGAATGTCTATTGTCGACGCGTTCGTTTCCATTTGCTTACGTAGCGGGCTCAAGACGACAGTGTAGCGCACCACAAGTGTGGGGACTTGAAGTGGGAATATGTCGCCTTCGCATCGACAGCGGCATCGTAGTCACAGGTTAGTCGCGTCGGAGTCAAGTGTCGGTCGTGATTAGTCTAAGAGTCCTATTTTTTGGTACGGGGTTCATTCAATATTCTCGCGATGTTAAAATTTACAATTCACGGTTTCATTACATCGGGATCTTGCCTACAATTATATACTGATTTCCGCATCACAGTGATTGCTAACAATCATACATCACCTGGACGTTTCTTGCACTGAAGACCTTAACGGATCCTGGAATCCGTTAGTTTTCTGACAATCGCTATAAAATATAAAAACTTGATAGAAATTTGATTACAGTAACAATGCTTGTACGTACTGTTTTTGTACGTTTTTGTGAGGTTTTTTATGCAATAACATCGCCAACCGGTGTAATACCACTAAAAACAAATGTTGCAAATAAAATATACCGGCAAAAATATAAAGATGTCCGTATACATATAGAATAAACACTGTATACCGGCAGAAATATGGAAGTGGTACTTTATGTGGCGATTATCATGTTGCTTTCATTGGAAGAAACATTGAGTTACTTTTCTACAAGCTGCAGTACACCATAATATATAACAGCACAAGCGCGTATTCTGAGTGTTGAATGTAATAGTTATCTGTTTTGACTGTTAGGTGTAAATTACAGTATCACGACTCGTACGGTTGTATGATGGTAGCTACGAATAAGACATTTGTAAATATCCTTAAATAATAAATAAAGTAAAAGGCAGAAAAGTATGTCACATGAAAGTACGATTGCATTCTTTTCATGCTTCGTTTAAGGGCGGTAAATATTCGAAATTGTCGTGGCAGTTAATTTTATTCAAGAGGATATATTGTCATATACTGCTCAATACAACCGATTTCAGTTTACGCTTCCTGTTCATCTAATCGTAAGTCTTTCTAGTTTTGTGTTTATTTTGAACTATATTCATCTTGCATAACTTCATTTCTGCGTTCAATTATTAGGCAAAAATATAGTGTGATGATTTTGCTTAAGACAGAATATGAATAAACAATTTTATTTGTATATGTGTTGTCGGTTTACATTTCCTTATAATCTTAATTAACATACCATCACGTAAAGGATACAGATTATCAGAGTAACAACTTACGCTAAAGTTCCATTTTGTTTTCATCATGGTTGCGATCAGTTAAATACGTACATATATAGATGTAAACATTATCCTCTCACTGATAGAAACATCGTGAAATACGATATGCATGCCTTAACTGTCTTTTAAATACAACAGATTTGTCATTAACGTATTTTCAAACGTAACAGGTTTATCAGTGCTAGTATCAACACGTACTTTTCCAAAGTTCTCGATGTTCATGTCATACAATCCGCCGGCGCTCAGCATGCATGCTTTGCTGCATCTTATTGTCATCATGTAAAGTGACTTCTGATATTTTACCGGAATGTCGTACCAGTTCGAGCTGAATCTATTGTAACGTTTCGAAAAAAATAAAATTGTGCTAAATAAATTTTATTGACTTATTGTAGAATCGGAAAATACTATATCACGTTAAACGCTTACATTTTATCTGTCAGAGCTACAGCATGATTCAGTAAAATTTGTCCATTCAGGCTGAGAATGAATAAATGAAACTTCTCAGCGATAAGAAATAGAACAAATCTCATTGCATCCATAGGTTGATCCATATATAGAATAATCTGGAAAATAATTGTATAAAAATTGATACAAGACGTTCGTGAGTAAAATTTTTACCTGCACCGCGGTTAGACTGATGGCAATCATGTTCATTCCGACCAGCATTAAATTCATAATCTGGCTACATTCTTCTAGGAAGTCAAAAACCTAAAAACATAAAACTGAATCGATAGAACGACGATTATGTTAATTATTTAGAATTATTAATATAATCGGAACTAACTCTAGAGCTTTATGATGAGTAATCACGCATTGCTTGAACATTTCATCTTCCATCTTTTTCTGTTTACATGCCATTTGAACCTGATATCTGTACAATGATGATTAAAGAATACTGTAATTAGAACGTAAATGTGTGGGGATTGACTTTATGTGGAGTATCACACGGATAAACAGTCACAACAACGCCAAGATTTAAGACTTGTAATTTCTTATTTTGAAAGTATAATCCGGGATGGAGGTAATTAAGGAATGACGCTTTGAAAAAATCCGAATGCGTCAAAATGAAAAAATTTGTATTCAAAGCACTTACCCACACACGTCAAACAGTCCGCTAGCATGATGAATGATGAGCATATACAAGGAATCTATAGTAACGATTACGAACACAGTCAGAGACCCGGCCCAAGACATATGAAGATAAATGGCGAAAAAGTGATCATCAACGTCAAAGAATATGTAATTGACTTGAAACAATTGTTGCCTTGGACGAGTTTCATTCAACGGCAAAATGATGTCCAATGTCGGAGGAATTAACGGAATGTAGTTAAAAGCTACTAAAAATGATAGCAAAGTCACTGAAAAGAATGGATATTAACTGAACAATCTCCACCGAACAATTATCATGAACATTATCATTATTCTTATTACGACGCGTTATATACTTCTGTACAAATAGGCAAGTTTGTCCCCCGTTGCAGTAACCTTATCCAACACGTGCAATTCATTTGTCAACGTTTCCCAGTCTTTTACGATCAAATCTAATAGTATTTTAAACTGCAATGCAATAGTACACTGTAGTAGACAAAGAAACCATCTTCAAGAAATGATATACACTGTACGTACGCGGTCCTTCTTCAGATAAATATTTCCGAATTTAATGAGACTTGCAATGACTACGAAAATGTGAGGTAGAATGTCGATTACTTCATCGATATCTTTTGCTTGGATTGCTACATATAACTCTAGAACCTGCGGAATTGTTGGACTCGATCACGTAACGACATTATTTTAATATTATTTATTATTAAATCTTTGATGGTAATACGCAATGTGCAGCAAAAGAAATCGAAAGGTAATTTTTCGCGCGCGATTTGAAACGCTAATTTATATTTGAATGATAGTATTTAAATATATATTTATGTTTAATTGGATAGGATCAGATTGGTACCAAAAAATACAGAACAATATAAATGTAAGAGGAATATATCGTCTGCATGTATGTATATCGATCCTTCACAGAATTCTAATTCTCAAAAAGATAGGTTTCTTTTGCTACACACCGTATACATGTGTAACAACTCTGGGGAAACGTTTTTTTTTCCTATCGCCAACATCACGACAATCTCGTACCCGCGACAATCTTCTATCCATCGATTAGAATAGTCAATTATCGACCGTAGTTGCCAATTGTCGACAGTACATTAGGTATCGATTATCGATCTATCAAATTCGACAGTCGGTAATCAGAATATATATATATATATATTATCGTTTATATTAATTATCTTACGATTTTGATTTAGAGTAGGTAATATCTTCCATAATAATAATTGAACATTAAGTTAGAACAATTAGAACAAAATATATTTTTTATATTTTAATTATGATATAGGATCGCTAATTTTTGTTACATTTGTTTTACACGCAGCAAACGTATTTATGCATTTACCATAAAAATGATATACTTTTTATATTTTGTTCATTTTTACGCCATTCTTTCAACGGCGTAAAAAGACTGAAAAGACGAGACATATTAAAAATTTTTCGAGTACCTGCATTGTTCGCTGTTTTTTATCGGTGAATGCATACATAGTAGTAGAATATGTCAATTGTAGCATAAATTTAACCGAAGTTTCTTTATGAATATCTCTAAAACTAACAGTGAGGTCGAATGCATAGAATTTTTGTATGAATAATAAAAGATTATTCATAATGTTGTTCATGGTACATGTCTCAAGGTTATTCAAATCAATGAAAACATTCACTTTATACATACATAGATGTGGAAATATATATAATCTTCAATTTTATACATACAGTATTTTGCAATTAGTTCAAGAGTGCAATACCAGAATTTTCCAAATTGAAACTTTTTAAATTTCTAAATAAGAAACCGCAAAGTTCTTTATTTTCCAGTTGATCTACCACCGTCGTTTCCAATCAAATGTATGTACATATGTGTAATGCAATTTAAATACGTATACATACATGTAATACAATACACATACATATATGCATAATGTTGCATCGCCTTAGAGTGCGATGCAGCTATTTTTTCATATATTTACAAGGCAATAGACCGAGGATCTCAAACTGACCGTACAGGCAATAAGTTTATGAAGCCATTGACCATTTTTCGTTAGCAAAAAATACCTTCGCGTCGGCACCTAAGTTTACTGCTTGGGACCAGCATGTTTAATTTCCTATTCCGTTATTTTCAATCATCATCGTCAGGGTCAGAGTGCTTTTTCACCTTATTACCTGCTACGGGTTTTTTCCAAATCGCGGAATCCCTCGTGCGTTACCTCTTGGTCGCGGCTACTTCCAGGGGTGACCATTTCTTGTACGAGGGAGGTGACCATTTCTTACGAGGGCGGTCACCTCTCAAAAATCAACGACCAATGGACATACACATCCCCTTCCAAATTACCGATTCCGAGGTAACATCGACAGCTACTTTGGCGAAAGAAGACAGAACACGATAATATCTCAAACATCACATATCGAAATCACGAAAAGAACTCAGTAATACAACGAATAACACGTAGCTAAAACACGAAAAGGATCACGAATTATCACTTAAAACCAGGCCCAGAGCTCGTTAAATCGTGACTGGGTCAGAACAGTGTCGGGTGCCCGAATCCGCGCTGTTTACACAACAATACAATTAAACCGTTAAATTTTATAATTAATGTATAATAACGAATTTACATGAAAATGTAGATATTCTGACGTCACAGAAATTCTAGGAATTCGGCGAACCTGCGAGAATAAAAGGGCGAACGGAACCCGTCTAAAATCAGAACAGTCTTCGAAGTCGAGCACGATACACGTCTCTTTGATAAGAATAATTAGGAACAGTTTTCGCTGTCAAGAGCCGCAACGAATCTTGATACTTGATTGGTCAAGCGGGTATATGCCATTTGGACACTTGGTCGTGGGTTGTTTCAGCAGCTAGCTAACGCAGGCTCCCCGTTCAAACGATCTCGTGTCTGAAACTCCGTCAGGAGAGAGCTATACTTAGCGCCAAGAAAGGCTAAGATATCGAAACGATTGCTCTCAGCTACTCATATTTGATTTTT